GCTAGCTTGGAGATCATGCTCTTTCCTTCAAACATATCTTGATTCACTTCTTCACCATGAACTGCATATCTACTTTCCAGAGAATCTTTCCACACAAAATATCCACATCCAACCTGGAATGCAATGTCACTAATTATATAGGTTCATTGAAATGATAAGAGTGTCCTAATGTTCAACTATATACTGAAAACTTTACACAAAATTTTAGCAATTTCAGAAAGAATTACCTTCCATTTTTGGCAGCCGTAGAATGTTCTCCCACTCTCCCGAGCTACGCACAAGGGGGCCTTCAAAGCACAATAACAGTACACCGCCGGCTCATAATCAAGAGTAATGGTTCGTCCTTTTCTGGCAGGTGATGAAGATGCAGATGACATTTTGATTCGCAGTAGAAGAAGATGAAATGGACGATCGAGTAATTAGGGTTGGGGATGCGGCTGGCTAATCTACGTTAGGTTGGCTGAGAAGGAAATATATAAGAAATATATCATATTAACAAATAGGTAAAAATAATAATTTTCATTAAAATAATGACATGTATACATCCAAGTCAACAAGGAACCGGCTAACCGGATGCTAACCGTTTAAATGACCTATTTGGTTAATTTTTCAAACTTAGGGGATTTAATTGAGGCGGAACATTGTTTAAGGACCCAATTGACTTTTTTGTTAAAGTACAGGGACCTATTTGACTCTTTTCTCATAAAGATATGATAATGTTAGCACAATTTATGAGCACTAGTTATTAAAAATACGACATTGTTGTGGTGACATTGATACATTGTCATAATGTCATTGTTCAAATTATGATAATTGAATTGTATTAGACATTTATCAACACATTGTCAATTTGTCATTGTTTAAAAAAGCAATCTAAACTAAATAGGTAGTGAAATCAAAAACGACAATCTAAATGACCAAATTTACGTAAAATCTACACTATCCTAAATACGTAGTGCAAGATATCCTTTTTACCAAAATCTATAGTTATATATAGTAAAGTCGAGTTAAAAACTAATGATGTGTCAACCTCCTATTGGATAATGCAAATTTTATTATCACAACAACTAAAACAATTAAATGACTCACACGGCTGTTTGAAAAAACTCCTAAATCACGGCAGATTTGGAGAAAAAGAAGGAGAAATAATCTCTCTTTTTTAAAGTGATACTCCCTCCGTCTCGTTAGAAGGTTCTCACTTTCCTTTTTTGGACGTCCCATTAGAAGGTTCCCATTTCCATTTTAGGAAACAATTAACAATCTTAAGTGACAAATTAGTCATTAAATATTAAAAATAATACATTTATAATATCACAGTTATCAATACTAACACATTATAATATATACTTATTAAAATTATTTCTCAAAACATAGCCGAAGTAGTCTATTTAATTATCACCTAAATAACCGTGCCGTTTTGCTACGGGAACCTTCCAGCGAGACAGAGGTAGTATAACTTTAATATTTTTAATCCAATTTTTACAAAACATATATCAAAATTCATAAGTTTTTATAATATTTCATATGACACCAGTATCATATATATATATATATATATATATATAAAAGATCTACTACTCTTTACGTTCCCCAGAAAAGCTTCCACATGATTTATGATATTTTACTGACCATAAAGTTATTTGATCCGTGTCCGTAATTAGATTTATTTTATTAATGAAAATTGTTGAACACACTCCCGCCAGACACGGTAGTTCCTTCCACAGTGACCCGTCATGGTGACACTGCCACGACCGTTCAATGACCCATCCTAGTTTTCAACCAAATCCGTCTCGCAACCTATTGCCACCCATCCACCAGCACTGCCACCCCACTGCCATGACTGTCAACTTGTATACAACCCTACCCCTCCCTAGACCCACGCCCCAACGCCCCAACCCAACCACCCTACCCTATTCCAAACCCAGCTCCGACCAACCTCTATCTACCCCAGAACAGACTCTAACATCCCCTATCTACGCCCGACCAACCCCTCTACGTACAACCGTTGCAACACACTTACACTCCTACACTCCATCCCTAGCTACTACACACTTGCAACAGTGGTCGCAGAGAAGTGAGATGAAATCGCCGCTGCCTCAAAGCCCCAATCATATAGCCTCGACGTCGCCCTAACCGTTGCCTCAAAGCCCTAGCCACACCGGTGCATCATAGCCATAGTCACAAGATCCAGGAACACCGCGAGCGTACAGAAGGAGTAGGAGAGATGTTAGGGATGGAGGAGGCGTCAGTGCCGACGATAGTGACGATGTCTGTGTCAGCGACGATGCAGATGCAAGCATCATCGGTGATGAATATTTAGAAGAGAGTTGCATAAAAAATTGTTGAAGGAGAAAAGAAGAAGGCTTTTAGGCTTTTTATATATTAGGGGTATTTTTGGTGTATAGATATAATTAGTCATTTTTTTCTCCTAATTGAAAATTACTCATATTTTTGTTTAAGGTAAGGCTAATAGTACATTATTATTCTTGTTATTCTTTCTTGTTACTTAAAAGTGAAAACACTGATTTTAACTTTTTAAGTAACAATCTGAAAAGCATTTTTGTTGATCTTTTACAAACATTCTCTTAGAATACTTTGAAACATAACCACCCCACAAATTAAACTCATTGAGATTATCAAGCCTTTTCTTTTCAAGATTCAAGAAAGAAGTGTAGACCCGTTATTTCACCATATAAACATTCAAGTGATATACGGTCATGTATAATGTATTCAAACTTGAGGGCACGTAGTGTATCTTATTTGCAAAGAATAAAGAAGTTCATTTTCATTTGCAAGTGAGGTTTCACACTAGTCCCCAGTACCCACCGATCATTATTGATAGATTCAATCATCTCGTGACGGAGAATGAACAAATCATTGAATCAATGTGGACGTACTAGAATCACTTTCTGACGATGAAAGGATTCAAAACTGGATTGGAGAGACCGGGATGGCTATGGATTACACAAACCAAAATTAGGGTGCTAGTCGAGTTATCTAGTCAGACGAGTTGAGCTTAGTTTGGGTCGGGCTTGATAAAGAAAGATCAAATTCGAGTGACTTTCAATCGAGTCCAAAAATTTATGACTTAGTTCAAGTTGAGTTCGAGTTTGAATCGTATTTGAGTTTCGTTTGTTTAACATGATATATTGCTAAACAAAGAGTTTGATTTGTTATACATTTAAACACATGTGCAATCATCAATATTTTTAAACATAAAACACTGTTTTAAAATTCCCCGTATAATTGTCTCTTGCATATTAGGACTCTGCTTATCATTTATGTTTTATTTAAATTAAAAAAGAACTGAGTTCAATTAATCCAATTTAAATCCATTTAGCGTTACCTAAGAATGTTTATAGTACGCATAACACTTAGAACATTGTAATACACTTTAAACAATATATGAATGTGTAAGATATTTTTAATAGAAGATATATTCATCCCAAATATATTTTTTATGCATGGGTCCATTCTATTGATATATGATGTAAATGTCATATATATGAATTTAAAATAATTAACAATAACCCATAATTGAATAGCTTGTATATAGCTTCAGTTTGACTCTATTTGATTTGAATCAAACTTGAGTGCAAATTGAACTTGAATCGAGTCGAGGTAGAGAAGAGATCCCCTTAGAGAATTGGGTTGCTCAATTGGCACCCTATGTGAAAACATAACGAAATCAACAAAATTGAATTGAACCTTTTGCTTAATTCAAATTAAAGTATTGTTAAGTCATCATTTTTATTCCAATTGTCGGGTGGAAACCCCTCTTAGGCTTTTACACATGGACAACGTGCAGGGAAAACAAAACATTTTTTATTTCATTTCATTCGAGTGAATGAAAGTGAACGGCAGTGTAGAGATAAAATATCTATAAAAAAAGTGTAGAGATAAAATAAAACATTTTCTTCATTTCTGCTACACATATTATGATCCAATTTTTATATTGTGATGTTTGAATGTCCTTCTAAGACTCAAGCGGTTTGCGTTTTGGTTGTTCACCAAACGTGGCACCGAATAGGTAACATACTTCATTTCAAAGGTGGGAATTACTTATTTTGTGCGTCACCTCATTTCAAATAGGAGTGATGGATGAATTAATCATAATACTATTTCAAACATTTTTGATTGAATTGATTCAGTATGGAAAAGGAGCCATCGCTCAAAAAAGTCTCACACTATTATCCGGGAATTGAAAAGAAAAGTCTCACTCAAAAAAGTCTCACACTAGCTCATTCAGTCATCCTTGAGCTACCCATTGAAGCAAATGTGTAACATCCTTGGAATGACAACAACAAATTATCCAACCAACAATGTAGAGAATGATTTGATGAATTTATAAAAAAGGATGATAGCTCATATCTGAGGGCTCTCGACATCGCCCGAGTAGTTAATTGAGAGTATATAAATTAGATTGTAATTACAAATTCACAAATAACAAGTGAGGTTCTGGTCCTTCCAGTCACACCTACAACTGGCTGGTGTGACGAATTTATGCTATGAGAATTTAGGCGTAAATTTTAACATTAACTCCTTGACGATAACTCTTGAAACAAGGGATCCATGTTTTTGTGGTTCACAATAGTCTTTAACGATAACTTTGAGCGATTAGTCCGTGTTTATGATTTGGCAACTGATTCCATCAAGTAAAAGTTTTACTTGAATGGATCGAAGGCCGTACCTAATAACAATGGGTCCAGAATAACAATGGGTCCAGACCGGTCCGCACCTGTTTATTCCGGGTCGGATTTTAGACCTGATTGGACCGGAAAAACCCAATGCTCTAATTTTTTTCTATGGTTTGGAACGTGTTTTTTTTTGTCTATTTCTCATATCGATTCTAGGATGTTCCTGAGATGCCAAGAAGGCCACGCTCCCTTGCAGATTCTTTGGTCCCCCACTTTTATTTCAGTCCACAAGATTCTGCGGCCCAAAATCCCTCTACGTGGGCTCAAATATACCCACCCACCCTCCACTTCACCCCCCTTCCCCCTATATCTACCCCTCTCTTCTTCACACTCTGTAAGAAGCTGACAGCCATTTCTAACCATTTAATTTCTCTCTTTTCGATCTTTCACTTTCAGACTAAGAAAATCTCAAAGGAAAGACATGGCTTCAACGGTTGTGATGCAGTCAATCCTGGGAAGCCCATTGGCCAGCAGAAGTGGCCCGGCCCAGTTCGCCCCAGCTAGCTGCTTGCCCCGCCTTCGCCGGAGCTCCGATCTCCGGGTCAAGAGCTTGTCCGAGGTAAATATTCCATCTTGCTCCGAAAATACTTCGTAATTGTTTATTTCCGTTAAGATTTGAGATTTCATCTAAAAAGTCAACTTGAAATTAAACACGCCCTAACATGAATTAAAATGTTTCAGGATGGCGAGCGGATCCCTTCACCTCCTCCTCCTCCTCCGGCGCCGAAACCCAGCACCGATTGGAAGAAAGTGTTCTCCTTCAGCGGTCCCGGGCCGGAGAGAATCAACGGGCGGCTAGCCATGGTGGGTTTCGTCTCGGCTATCGGCGTGGAGCTGGCTAACGGCGGCGATCTGTTCAACCAGATCGCCAACGGCGGCGACGCGCTGTTCATTGGGACTAGCGTGTTGCTGACGTTCGCGTCTCTGATTCCTCTGCTTCAGGGCGTGACGGCGGAGTCAAAGTCAAAGGGGTTCTTCTCCGCCGACGCCGAGATCTGGAACGGAAGGTTCGCTATGGTGGGCTTGGTGGCTTTGGCTTTCACGGAGTATGTCCAGAATGGCCCGCTTTTGCACGTCTAGAAGCCGAGCCGAGCCGGGTGAGACGTTAAGCAAGCCAGACCAGCCGCTGCTAATGGAGCCGGAATCTTATTTGGTTTAGCTTGAAGAATTAATCTTATGTTAATAGATTGTGCTATGTTTGCGATGAATTTTCGTGCCGTTTTTAGTGCAATTAACTTGAAGATATTGTTCGTTGTCCACTGCCACATTCTTGTTTATTCTCAAAAGTCTTAATTACAGTATTAATTAAACAGTATAAAAACTAAAGTTTCGAGTTTTACAAAATAATTCCAGTCCAACTTGTAAGAAACAATTCTTAATCTTTTTTTTTTTTGCCGCATGAACGAATGCCTTTTAAAATGCTCAAGTATATTTGCGAATTTTCCCCTATTAAGGTTTATTTGATCGTTAAATTTTTCTAGGTCAAGAGTCTTTCCAACGAACACATAAAAAAGAGAACATATTTCTTGGGACCGCTGATTATTGGGTACCATCGCCAATTGCAAGTTTACACTGTCTCATACTCGTATAAAGGTAATTTAGACTTTTTGAAAGATTCAATTTTGTAGTTTGTTTATGAGAAAAGTTTATCTTCAACCAAGGTAAAAAGTTATTGTAGCACGGGATTTATTAGCTAATTCTTCAAAGAAACATAATACCGGAGTATTTTATAAAGAAGAGTACAGAGCTTCATGGCAAAGTAGCAGTCCACATGACCTCAATTCCCAAAAGTATAGTGTTGTAGCATAAATGTACGTTATTACAAAAACAAGTTAAACCAAATGTTTTTAAGTAAAGACAAAACTCCATAGTTATTTCAAACTCCTGAATCTGCTGCAGAATAGTCTTCACGGCAGGATAAAAATGTTCCTACTTCAACCTGAAAAGCCTCGAACTTTTGGTGTTCTGAACATCCAAAAGACGAGTGCGAGTATCTACGAAATCAGACAGGATAAGTAGAAAAATGAAAGCAAACCTTTGGAGTTCTTGCATGTATATGAACACGTACAGGATCGTGGGTAGAATAGCTTTTTGCAAGGGAGTTCTGGAATAGCAGAACGAACAAAGACTTCAAGTTCATTTGACAGCTAGACAAAAAATAAGGGTCGATAAACACATTGCAAGTAGTAATACTAACCACAGTGCTCACGGGTCGATGTTTCCTCTGGAACCAACGAAAATCCCTCCTTGTCACACAGGAAGGTTTCAAAAGAGAATCCTCCAACATGACGAAGCATGAGGTAGTTGGGCAGCATAACATTATTATGCAATAGGAACTCATCTAGGCCATCACAGAAAGCTAAGTCATCATACCTGACATTCCAAGAACAACGAAACGGATAGGAAATGAACAACGATACCCCGAGGCTTTAAGAAACTGTTGCCATCCAGCCCATCCTTCAATTTGTTGAGCACCAGAACTGGGCAGGGCTTCAGTGGGTAAGCTGGACAACACTGATTTTTCGTCCGTGCTGGGTGTGAAGAAAGTGCTCGAAGGTGTTGTTGCCGCTCCCATCAACTCCCATATCTACGGTGTAAGTGTGAAACAATTCCATCCTAAACCATGTTTTTAAAAATCAAGCCTCAATCATATCCTACTTCACAACGAAGACATGCAACAAATGTAAAATCAAAAGTCATACTTAAACAGGTTGGGTATTGCCGCTAAACATACACCGAAGTGCGGAGTTTGAAGTAGGGAAAAGGTGCAAATAGGCCCATGTACTAACCAAAAAAGGTCAAATAAGCCCTTATTTAGGAGACTCTGTTCGGCCGTCGCCATTTGGAGTGGTTCCCGGTGGAATTTTTTGATGAAAATTTTTGAGTATCTTATTCATTAAGTCTAGTTTACTTATACAAAATTTCAGCCAAAACTTCAATCGGGAAGGCATTCAAATGAATTCTTGAAAACAACTGCGCAGTTAGAAGCACAATTATCTTCAAGAATTTATTTGAATGTCTTCCCGATTGAAGTTTTAGCTGAAATTTGGTATGAACAAACTAGACTTGATGAATAAGATGCTAAAAAAATTTCATCCAAAAATTCCACCGGGAACCACCCCAAATGACGACGGCCGGACAGAACTTCCTAAATAAGAGCTTATTTGACCTTTTTTGGTTAGTACATGGGCCTATTTGCACCTTTTCCCTTTGAAGTATTTTTAAAGTTTCATTATAACTAATTTTTTCACTTATTTTTTTCTTTATTTTATCAATTAATAAGACTTTAAATACAATTTGATTTCGCACACTGAATTGTGTAATAATAAGAAAAGTAAGATTAAAGTTATTTTTTTTGCTGTATTGGATGAAGTTGCGCGCTGTAGACAACCATTCTGAATACCGTTTTCATATAATTTTTTCTTTATTTAATTACTAAAATACGAGCATAAAGATATACTTTTACATAAATAAGCAGACTCAGGGAAGTTAAAGTAACTGATTATGTGTTGGTTGTTTTCAGGGAAACAAGCATGTTAGAGTGTCAATCAGTTGATATATACTGATAGATCCAAATGTCAAACTGTTACATTTATAAGGGGAGTTCCGGATCAAGGTAGATACAGAAGACTCATTAGTAATTGAAACTGAAATATGTTGCCGTTGCAAGACTAGATGTCTTCAAAATGTTAATGATCACAAAAGTCCTCCAAAATCTAGTATACATGTAAACACATTTTGAAATAACACGATATATGAAAATGGACAACCCAAACATTTGTGATCCAAAAACAGGTCCAATAAGAACATAAGATGCAAACAAATTAAACTACATGATAATTGGACAATTAGGGTGTTTTTATTTGGACGACTACTTTTTGTCTGAAATACACATAGTTCAGGCATTTATTAGACTAGACAACTTCAGTCCAGACTAGAAAGCTTTAGTTCAATTAAAAACATTGTATTCTATTAATCTCCATAAAAAAACTCGGTATTTCAGACAAAGATAGCATTACATGTAAGAAAACATAGTCGATTTAGATTTTTATCATAATTTGCCTGCTAAAAAAGGTTCGATCATTATCTTACGCTATTAAAGTCTGTAAATCCACCATTTCGTATTTAATATGTATCCAATCCATACGGGACTAATATATCAACACACTCATTTGGCCTAAAACAAGCTGAATAATTTGAGGTGAACAAATAGGCCTAATCGTTCCTCAACTGTCTTACTCCAATTTATACGGAGTAGATGTTAAAAAACCCAACTGGACCATATTGACATATAACTCCATCCACATCCATTTTAGTGATGTAATCCATATCTTATACTCCGTAAGATGTTAATTTTTACTCCATGAAGGACAAACATTTATACTCAAACAATCTTGTATTCCTTTACTACCACATAGCAATTATAGATTTATAGCAATGCCAATATGATAAAAATAATGCCAATAAAATTTAAATGATTCTGTTTTTTTTTTACAGAAATATTTAAATAATCTAAGAAATTAAATATGATGAATCAAATAAACGAGCTCCTCTAGTCAATCCCACCATAACATTATCAATTACTCCTTTTAGACTGCATGGATGAAGGTAGGTTGATGGTGGACTACTTCATCTTTCCCCAACTCCAAGTTGTTCACTCCTTCATTACTAATAGGAGTAATAGGAGTGATGCTTCTTTTGGTGCACATCCTATTGGCAATGCAGGACAAAAAGCTCAAAACCAAGATCACCCCCACCACCAAATACGCCTTCCGGAATGACCCGACGTCAGAAAACGACCACCCCGATGGCGGCGACGCTGATGATAGAGATGGGACAGTATAATTGCTGTCACCCGGAATAATTGGGACATTGTCATATGGATAGTATAGGGGTTGGAGTGGTAAAGACGACATTCTTCTCAAAAAAATTTGGTTCTGTTTGGTCTTAAACTAGCAGAATGGACACGGAATGATTTTACTTTGTGAGCTTGGTTTAATTTGGTTATATGCGTTTTGAATGTTGATTAATATATAAAGGTTGCAAGAACGTAGATTTGTGTAGTTTTCGAATTAATTAGGAAGAAACGTAATTTAAGCTAAGTTGCCTAATCTACCTTAGAGAGTCAGTACTTCCCCTGCAGCTTCTAAATTGGAGTAAATTATTACATGCAAATACAGTATCTATCTGATCTGCATAAAGATTTTTATTTTGAAAGAAACCCTGCATAAAGATTGGGAAAATCAAAATGTGTGATTTTTAATTGTCTTAGTTCGATACTTTCCTTAATTAAATAAATTTAGACATATCTATGTATGCAAGGAATGAGAAAAGGAAGTGACAAACTTTTATACTAAAAAAAGTGTAGTTTTTAATAGCCTAATATTAAATTAGGAATCCTATGTATCTTTGGAAACTCTTTTTAGTATAAATATATCAGTCAGGTACCCTATTAATTCACAGTTTTATTCATCGAATAAACACCTATGCGAATAAAAACCTATGAGAGAATAAATAGATTTCAAAAATAACACGTGCGTTTTGTATTTCTTTAGTAATAAGTGTATAACTAATTATTTGTTTCTCTTATAAGATGCATAATAATCAAATTTTGATTAAATGGTTGAATTGTTGAAATATTGGACTACTTTATCTATTTTTCAGGGTGTATAATTTTTAGAGATATAACTAATTAAATAAAGTTTGTGGATAAATATACTCCGTATGAGATTTCACAAATATATTGATCAATTTCATACGTACGTAGTACATCGATCAATTTCTTTTGATTAATTTATGCATATTACTTTTCATATTTATTTATTTTAAAAATAAAAAATTCATCAAAATTGACCGTTACACGAACAAATGTAGTAGCTTAATACGGGGTGGTTCCCTATCATGAATCAGCCGGGCCTCTGTAAGAAATGGGGACCAAGGGAGAGAGAGTAATTACTCTTGACACCGAACCACGACCGGACTAACCAGTCTCAATCTAGGAAAGGCGAAAACAGCTAACCGAGTGCAAAAGTAGTCTTTGGGACGGGACCTTGTATGTACACTCCAAGCTTCATACAACATAAGCATAAGATTTGGATCATCTACCGCACGGCAGATTACCTAGAAACAATCAAGGACAGCAAGCAAAAGAAGAAAATATACCAAAAAGGATAGCTAGGCACCCTTCCCGATTGCAAAGCCAGGCAGAGACCCCAATCCATAAGCATATTATACGATTGTTTTGTGCTATCATCGTCAAGCCTTCAAAGCTATCATCGTCAAGATTGCCCTTTCACAAACAAATGGCAAGTTAATTATTTTGGAGTAATTTGATATGATCAACGGTCTGATTTAATAAGGCTGATTGGAGTGGTGAGGTATTAGGAGTCCACAATGTTAAAAGAGATAATTCCCTAAATAGGAGTAAAAACGTTTTGAAATTCCAAAATAGGAGTATCATGTTTTTTATTCCCTGAATAGGAGTAAATTTCTGCCAAGTTTAGTTTTACAAGACTTTAAAGATGGCAGTTTCTTCCAAACTTGGCAGATTACTCCTATTCAAGAAATAAAAAACATGATACTCCTGTTTTGGAATTTCAAAACGTTTTTACTCCTATTTAGGGCAATTTCTGATGTTAAAAATAGTACTCCCTCCGTTCCATTGCACTATGCCAACTTTCTCCTTTTGGTTGTCCCAAAAAAAATTTGTCACTTTTCCATTAAAGTAAATAATTTGTGGTTTTGCTCATTTCTCTCTCCTTTGCAAAAACCTCAACCACACATTTTTCACTTGTCTTATTTCACACCTAATTCAAAGAGTGCAAAGTACATTGGGACGGAGGTACTATTTTTGGACTCCTAATTTCATGCATTGGTGGGTTTATGAGGGTATTAAAAATGGATATAGGGAGGGATGGTGGACTAAATTTGGAGGAATTTGGACAGCCAAAATTTAAATGAAAAAGAAATAAAAAAGGAGGAAGTGGGTGGGTGACGTCGTGATGATGACATCCTGATGTCATTATAATCTCAAATCTTTTTTAAATTCTTATAACTTTTTTACCTTTTCTCCAAATTTTTCAAAAATTATATCAAAATTCATGATTTTTTCATAATCTTTCATATGACACCAATATGTAATATATAAAATGAAAAAAAATCTGAATATTTAATTGTTGGAGTTGTTGGTCCCGGTTATTGAGGTAACAGTCTAGAGGGGGAGGGGTGAATAGACTGTTATGGTTTTTAACTTTTTCAAGCTAAGCACCAAGGTTAACAGAATAGCCTGTTCTGTTGAGAACAGACTGGCAGCGGAGGTCTTCTGATAGGTGTTCTGTCGGGATAGCCTCACAGAGGGATAAAGGCATTTGGCCTTCTGTTAACTCACAATAGGTGTTCTGCTGAACACAGATACCACTTCTTTGGAGTTGAACAGTTAGAGGTATGAGAGCAATAAGTAAATGACACCAGAGATTTTTATAGTGGTTCAAGGAACAACTTGTTCCTCTAATCCATTGTTCCACTAAGCTTGTATAAACCAATTACAACACTTAAGTCCTAGCACTTAAGAAGCTCTCCACGTCTTCTTCAAGTGTAGATGTCTCCTGGGATGCACTTCCTTCTTCCTTTAAGACTGGTCTTGTTTCACTGAGTCTCCTTGAAGTATCTCCACTTCACTACTCGAGCTACTTTAAGACGTCCTTCTTTGCAGAAGATGTTCTGTTGAAAACAGAGTTTTCTCCAACTTTCTTCGTCACAAAAGATTTGTAATTAGGTGCTTGAAGTTGTTGAAGAACAATAGGAACTTTGCTCTTGTTGGTGATGAAGAATATATGAACTTATGATCTTCCCAACGTAGGCCTTTCTTGTTGATGGAGTTGGAGTTTTGAATCTCAAGAAGGCTTTTTAATGTTGTAGTTAGAGCACAAGATGTGGCAAAGTTATTCGGTTGTTCTTCGAGTAGTATCTTTTATACTGAGGTTGTCTTCCCGTTGGAGGAGGAGACAACTGCATTGAATGCGCGTACTGATTGAGTTGACCGGTTGGGCCCGCAAGTTTGGCGGCTTACTATTTTGGGATAGGCTTTCCAGGAATCTCGGTCAATCATCAGCCTTTACTCTTCGGAGTGTAGAGCTCATTAAATGAGCATTAAATGATGTCCTGTAGTATTTCCGTTGAGTATGAGCTAGCCGTTGAGAGAATCTTCCGTTGAAGTACTCCAGCGAGTTAGTTCTCAAATCTTCTAAGTGTTTGATCTTCTGCTGGTTTTCAGAGGGTCAGATCACAGAGGGTCTCGAGCTCTTCTGACTATTGGAAGTTCAACAGAATACCATGGGTACTTCTGTCAAGTAACCAGCCAACAGAGGGCCTGAGGGTCTTCTGTCAGTCGACTATTCTAGGAGAGCTTACACTTAGACAACTTTTAATACAAAAATTCTAATGGGGGTAGTCTAAAGTCCTAATAAATCTAGCATCATCAAAATCTTAATACATTTATTCCTTACAGGAGTTTTCTTGAGCAAAAAAACACGAAATATAAACTTTTGATTCATGTAGCCTTCACAAATAACTAAATATTCCATAATCGAACTTTACTTGAAATAAGTTCATTTTTATTACACGAAAAACATTAAAAAGAATTAATGAAATTTGTTTATTTTTACATCAAAATGTGTATTTTTATTTCATACTTATTTAAAGAAAAAATTAAAAGGAAAACATTACTTATAATAATTTAATTAATGTTTTACTTAATTGATGTGTAAAAAAATATGCAAAGTGTATTTTATTGATGGTGCTGAAATGCAGAGATATATGACTCAAAACACTGTTTTCATATGGACAGAATCCATTTTTGACATTTAGACTCTAACACCACTCCAAATGATCAAAAGGTTGGTTATTTTCTAAACAAGTTTCGAAAAATCGTCTCATTATTTTTAAGGGTTTTTTACAAGAATATTACTAAAATAAAACTTATTTACATAAATATGACTATTCATTACTACAACGTAGTGTTGTGGTAATTCATGTTCAAAATTTGAACATGAATTACTAAGATTTCATTACTACTCTAGTAACTAGTCATATTTTTGTAAATCATCTTTATATTACAATTTGAACTTGTAAATATTTCTATTTTTAAACTTTCCCATTACAATTTTGCCAACAAAAAATAAAATTCCTTTAAAATATCATCTTGATTAGAATTGCATACATGCAATTGTTCGGATCCGCCCACAGTCACCAATATCTTTGTGAACATGTCCCTCATATGGCAAAAGAATGAATAAGATATATATTTTTATCTAATAGATCCAAATTCTGAAAATTAAACTTATACAATTTGGATATATATTTGGATTATTAGTTAAATATGAGTTTTTCCCGTAATAATACTAAATAAATAAATAATTACCAAAATACTACTGGATTAAAAATAATTCCCAAAATACTACTAGATTAATCGTGGTTAAAGAAAGCCACCACTTGAAGTGACGGCTTTTCTCTTACAGTAATATAAGAGATAGACACAGAATAAATTCATGACATTTATCTTTCCTTATTTCTACAGTCTTATATATTTTTGGTAAATTTTTATCAACAATGTCAACCACAATGTCTACATGTAGACATTTTACTTACCAAAAATATGTAAGATGATTCAAACAAGGAGAGTAATAAGTTTTATGTGATACCCTTTCAAGGGGAGAATAAGAGGTGGTTCGTAGAGCGACCACCGCCATTGTACACCACTTTAGAATATCCCTATGGGAAGTCTCTAAACTTGGTGTGTCTTTTAACTCAAAAAGAATTAAACTGAATGGGCAATTGTCCATGAAGCTAAACTTAACACTTTATTAAGCTCTATTATTTATCATAATACAAAACTGAATATGAGAATAGAAAATTTAAGATCCAATTATTACTCCAAGAAACAACCAGCCCTGCACCTCCAAACAAATGACCATTCAACCGGTCTAAGGAGCGGTATTTAGTGTTGGACTCGGGCCGGGCGGAACCAGAACCGGCCCGGCCCGGTCACTGTTTGAACCGGACCGAACCGGCGGCCCAGCCCAGGGGCGGTTCGGGTCGACCCGGCCCGGTGGGGTTCGGTTCCGGGCTCGGGCCCTCCATTTGGTGAACCGGCCCGGCCGATTCGGGCCCAGTCTGGGCCGAATTTAATTTAATTTTTTTTTGAATATTTTTTAAGTTTTTGGGTTGGGCTGGGTATTTTGGACCATTTGAGGTGGTTTGGGGTGGTTTGGGGGTGAGGGGGTGGGTTGGGGGTTAAATAGGAGAAGCAAAAAAAATAAAAAAAATTACAAACCGAGTGGCCCGGCCCGGCCTGGCCCGGAACCGGACCCGGAACCGGACCCGGAACCGGTGGCTACCGGTTCGGGCTCGGGCCCAACAAAACAGAACCGAGGCCCGGATGGGCCCAGGCCCGAACCAGCCCGAGTCCACCCCTAGCCATATTGTCAGGCATTTAACTTGTGTTAGCCAATCCGATTGGAAATTTCGATTGGGCAGAGAATAGCAATAGGCATGAGTACATTTATTTCTCTACGACCATACTCCCTGATGGTTCCAGGGATTTAAAGTTAAACAGAGCTACTCGTATATAACTCCACATTCCTATTCATTGGGTTAGTATTTAGTATGACTAACGCAGTTAGGCATATACCAACCTACCCGGGACAGAACAGGACCAGGACTAACCAGTTATTTGACTTATTTCCCCTAGGAAAGTTCTCGCGGACCAAACAGGTCGAAAACGGTAAGAGCCAATATGCAAATCCAGTTTTCAGTTCGTATATATTGAGACCTAACTGGCCAATTCCAGTCCCAAGCGCATTTTCATTTAATAAATTTTGCTCCCATTGTTTTGGTTTAAGGCTTTGCCAATTTTGGGAAGTAAATAGAATTTGTTATGATTATGTGTAATTAAAAAGAAGCAATGCATTTTAATTTTCGTTGCAACAAAATCTCTGGGGCTATTATCTGTTCCAAGCATCCCCTGATATAGTCTACTATTATAAGGTGCTGCATAGATAAATTTGGGTATGATGGGGTTTCAGAGTTTGTAAACATCCAGAAGTTTTAGAACAACATACAAAATTGTAAGACAAATAACCAAGCAAACGTCTTTAATCTGTAATAATAATAAAATCTAGTTTTTCGCTCTAAAGTGGATGGTTTGAAGACGCATATCTTGATTTCATTTCCATTACCTGGTAACTCTGTAGCTCTGGAAAAAGAAAAGCACTGAACTTAAATTCCACAGTTGCGCTAAATTTAGAACAATTCAGTGATCCATATTGAGAACACATACCTTTACCCTCTTAAGAAGTTCCTTTGCCTTGAAATCATTCTTGAAATGATCACGCACAGGCTGTGCATAGTACATGAAAGATGTTTAAGAAAATATATATTCCTAAATGTAGGTCTGTGGTTTTCTCACTTAAAATGGAAAACCTAAATCTAATTCTTATAAGGCACCTAACTTCGACTCCATTGTCCAAGTACAAATCGAATGTTTGAAAAGATACTAAAAATGTTACCATATGCTTGGATCTGGGAAAATACTAGGGAAAGGAAAGAAAATGCTAAAGTAGGACTGCCACAGGAAAAGCAAAGGAAGATATTACAACTCCATAAAGGTGACTCCATTCATGTATGGAGAAAAAAGTACTACCTCCGTCTCGATTAAAGGTTCCCATTGCAAAATGACACAGTTATTTAGACAATAATTAAATAAGGTAATTCGAGTATGTATTTATTGAGTTTGAAATAATATTTCATTTTCCTTAACACTTTCTTCCCTTCCAAATATCACTATTTTCCTAGCTATTTCTTTCCCAAAATTTTCCAAAAAGTGGAAAAAGTGTGTACCTGCAGGATCTTGTTCAGCACTTTTGCGAGAGCAGGTTTAAGGTCAGCAGGATGCAAGCTACCACATTCATAGTCACTAATAAGTTCCTCAAAAGTTGAGAAGGTCCTGCACGTGAATAAAAAGTTAATAAAAAGTGCTGCAATGGAGAATGGGTGATAATCACTTCTCATAATGTTCCAACTGGACCAGCAGAGCAAGCATATCCAATATTAATGAAAATTAAGCTGAAGTAAACTACTATGAAGCAAGCATATCCAACATGTCTTACTTGTTACCGCCATTTTCAAGACTTCGCTCCACCTCGAACTCATTAAACCAGGGAAAGATGATGTACTTGATGTATTCTAGACACGGATTTTTCTCTACAACCTTGGGTGGGCAGAAAGCCTTCTTTATTTTGAGATTCACATCTGCCTATAAATCAAGAAAAATAAAAAATCCAAGCGTCTGTTATGAATAGTCAATGACATTCAACTGTGCTGATAGAATCAACAGCATCAACTATGCACTACCTCTTCATCTTCCATGAAAATGGAGGATGACGGATCACTTTTGGACATCTTCTCTTGACCCTCCTGCAAGCCAGGCAGCATGTCTGCATGCCAAAATATAAGTGAAGGGAAAATATAAAGCTCCCAAACAAATTTCACATTTACAGAATTGTTACTATTCCTGTCCCAGGAAAAATCAGTTTAAACAGGCACGGAAATCAGGAAAATGAAAACTGCATTCATAAGAACGGAGAAAAATCATCTGAACCATATTTTGATTTTGAAAATAAAATGATGTGGAAGTATACGATGAGACAAAATGATAGGCTTGTTTTTCCTCTTTATATCTTCACAGTATTCTCTTGCAAGCACATTCACTTTTCGCTGGTCCATTCCCAATTGACAGATATCAGCCTGCTAGGAAAAGGGCATGCAGTTGGTTTGCGCACAGAATATATTCAAGGATGTATGCATCTAAATGTAAAAACGATAAAAATCTGTGAGTATTCAGTCTATAAAAAGGGCAGCCCGGTGCACGAAGCACCCTGCATGGCTAGGATCCGGGGAAGGGTCAGACCACAAGGGTGTATAAGGGGCAAATCTTCCTGTCCACTGTTTTTTACAAGAGACCACTCCCAAGACTTGAACTTGTGACCTCTCGGTCACACAGAAACACCTTAGTGTTCTGTATAAGTAAAAAAATCACAAATAGTACTAATCTTTAATATGGAAATGACCTTGTTAGGAGAAAGTTACATCCAAATACACTAAAACATGTCCAAAATAAATGAATGAATGAGTGAGTGAGTGAGTGAGTGAGTGAGTGAGTGAGTGAGTGAGTGAGTGAGTGAGTGAGTGAGTGAGTGAGTGAGTGAGTGAGTGAGTGAGTGAGTGAGTGAGTGAGTGAGTGAGTGAGTGAGTGAGTGAGTGAGTGAGTGAGTGAGTGAGTGAGTGAGTGAGTGAGTGAGTGAGTGAGTGAGTGAGTGAGTGAGTGAGTGAGTGAGTGAGTGAGTGAGTGAGTGAGTGAGTGAGTGAGTGAGTGAGTGAGTGAGTGAGTGAGTGAGTGAGTGAGTGAGTGAGTGAGTGAGTGAGTGAGTGAGTGAGTGAGTGAGTGAGTGAGTGAGTGAGTGAGTCAGTCAGTCAGTCAGTCAGTCAGTCAGTCAGTCAGTCAGTCAGTCAGTCAGTCAGTCAGTCAGTCAGTCAGTCAGTCAGTCAGTCAGTCAGTCAGTCAGTCAGTCAGTCAGTCAGTCAGTCAGTCAGTCAGTCAGTCAGTCAGTCAGTCAGTCAGTCAGTCAGTCAGTCAGTCAGTCAGTCAGTCAGTCAGTCAGTCAGTCAGTCAGTAAGTCAGTAAGTCAGTAAGTCAGTAAGTCAGTAAGTCAGTAAGTAAGTAAGTAAGTAAGTAAGTAAGTAAGTAAGTAAGTAAGTAAGTAAGTAAGTAAGTAAGTAAGTAAGTAAGTAAGTAAGTAAGTAAGTAAGTAAGTAAGTAAGTAAGTAAGTAAGTAAGTAAGTAAGTAAGTAAGTAAGTAAGTAAGTAAGTAAGTAAGTAAGTAAGTAAGTAAGTAAGTAAGTAAGTAAGTAAGTAAGTAAGTAAGTAAGTAAGTAAGTAAGTAAGTAAGTAAGTAAGTAAGTAAGTAAGTAAGTAAGTAAGTAAGTAAGTAAGTAAGTAAGTAAGTAAGTAAGTAAGTAAGTAAGTAAGTAAGTAAGTAAGTAAGTAAGTAAGTAAGTAAGTAAGTAAGTAAGTAAGTAAGTAAGTAAGTAAGTAAGTAAGTAAGTAAGTAAGTAAGTAAGTAAGTAAGTAAGTAAGTAAGTAAGTAAGTAAGTAAGTAAGTAAGTAAGTAAGTAAGTAAGTAAGTAAGTAAGTAAGTAAGTAAGTAAGTAAGTAAGTAAGTAAGTAAGTAAGTAAGTAAGTAAGTAAGTAAGTAAGTAAGTAAGTAAGTAAGTAAGTAAGTAAGTAAGTAAGTAAGTAAGTAAGTAAGTAAGTAAGTAAGTAAGTAAGTAAGTAAGTAAGTAAGTAAGTAAGTAAGTAAGTAAGTAAGTAAGTAAGTAAGTAAGTAAGTAAGTAAGTAAGTAAGTAAGTAAGTAAGTAAGTAAGTAAGTAAGTAAGTAAGTAAGTAAGTAAGTAAGTAAGTAAGTAAGTAAGTAAGTAAGTAAGTAAGTAAGTAAGTAAGTAAGTAAGTAAGTAAGTAAGTAAGTAAGTAAGTAAGTAAGTAAGTAAGTAAGTAAGTAAGTAAGTAAGTAAGTAAGTAAGTAAGTAAGTAAGTAAGTAAGTAAGTAAGTAAGTAAGTAAGTAAGTAAGTAAGTAAGTAAGTAAGTAAGTAAGTAAGTAAGTAAGTAAGTAAGTAAGTAAGTAAGTAAGTAAGTAAGTAAGTAAGTAAGTAAGTAAGTAAGTAAGTAAGTAAGTAAGTAAGTAAGTAAGTAAGTAAGTAAGTAAGTAAGTAAGTAAGTAAGTAAGTAAGTAAGTAAGTAAGTAAGTAAGTAAGTAAGTAAGTAAGTAAGTAAGTAAGTAAGTAAGTAAGTAAGTAAGTAAGTAAGTAAGTAAGTAAGTAAGTAAGTAAGTAAGTAAGTAAGTAAGTAAGTAAGTAAGTAAGTAAGTAAGTAAGTAAGTAAGTAAGTAAGTAAGTAAGTAAGTAAGTAAGTAAGTAAGTAAGTAAGTAAGTAAGTAAGTAAGTAAGTAAGTAAGTAAGTAAGTAAGTAAGTAAGTAAGTAAGTAAGTAAGTAAGTAAGTAAGTAAGTAAGTAAGTAAGTAAGTAAGTAAGTAAGTAAGTAAGTAAGTAAGTAAGTAAGTAAGTAAGTAAGTAAGTAAGTAAGTAAGTAAGTAAGTAAGTAAGTAAGTAAGTAAGTAAGTAAGTAAGTAAGTAAGTAAGTAAGTAAGTAAGTAAGTAAGTAAGTAAGTAAGTAAGTAAGTAAGTAAGTAAGTAAGTAAGTAAGTAAGTAAGTAAGTAAGTAAGTAAGTAAGTAAGTAAGTAAGTAAGTAAGTAAGTAAGTAAGTAAGTAAGTAAGTAAGTAAGTAAGTAAGTAAGTAAGTAAGTAAGTAAGTAAGTAAGTAAGTAAGTAAGTAAGTAAGTAAGTAAGTAAGTAAGTAAGTAAGTAAGTAAGTAAGTAAGTAAGTAAGTAAGTAAGTAAGTAAGTAAGTAAGTAAGTAAGTAAGTAAGTAAGTAAGTAAGTAAGTAAGTAAGTAAGTAAGTAAGTAAGTAAGTAAGTAAGTAAGTAAGTAAGTAAGTAAGTAAGTAAGTAAGTAAGTAAGTAAGTAAGTAAGTAAGTAAGTAAGTAAGTAAGTAAGTAAGTAAGTAAGTAAGTAAGTAAGTAAGTAAGTAAGTAAGTAAGTAAGTAAGTAAGTAAGTAAGTAAGTAAGTAAGTAAGTAAGTAAGTAAGTAAGTAAGTAAGTAAGTAAGTAAGTAAGTAAGTAAGTAAGTAAGTAAGTAAGTAAGTAAGTAAGTAAGTAAGTAAGTAAGTAAGTAAGTAAGTAAGTAAGTAAGTAAGTAAGTAAGTAAGTAAGTAAGTAAGTAAGTAAGTAAGTAGTAAGTAAGTAAGTAAGTAAGTAAGTAAGTAAGTAAGTAAGTAAGTAAGTAAGTAAGTAAGTAAGTAAGTAAGTAAGTAAGTAAGTAAGTAAGTAAGTAAGTAAGTAAGTAAGTAAGTAAGTAAGTAAGTAAGTAAGTAAGTAAGTAAGTAAGTAAGTAAGTAAGTAAGTAAGTAAGTAAGTAAGTAAGTAAGTAAGTAAGTAAGTAAGTAAGTAAGTAAGTAAGTAAGTAAGTAAGTAAGTAAGTAAGTAAGTAAGTAAGTAAGTAAGTAAGTAAGTAAGTAAGTAAGTAAGTAAGTAAGTAAGTAAGTAAGTAAGTAAGTAAGTAAGTAAGTAAGTAAGTAAGTAAGTAAGTAAGTAAGTAAGTAAGTAAGTAAGTAAGTAAGTAAGTAAGTAAGTAAGTAAGTAAGTAAGTAAGTAAGTAAGTAAGTAAGTAAGTAAGTAAGTAAGTAAGTAAGTAAGTAAGTAAGTAAGTAAGTAAGTAAGTAAGTAAGTAAGTAAGTAAGTAAGTAAGTAAGTAAGTAAGTAAGTAAGTAAGTAAGTAAGTAAGTAAGTAAGTAAGTAAGTAAGTAAGTAAGTAAGTAAGTAAGTAAGTAAGTAAGTAAGTAAGTAAGTAAGTAAGTAAGTAAGTAAGTAAGTAAGTAAGTAAGTAAGTAAGTAAGTAAGTAAGTAAGTAAGTAAGTAAGTAAGTAAGTAAGTAAGTAAGTAAGTAAGTAAGTAAGTAAGTAAGTAAGTAAGTAAGTAAGTAAGTAAGTAAGTAAGTAAGTAAGTAAGTAAGTAAGTAAGTAAGTAAGTAAGTAAGTAAGTAAGTAAGTAAGTAAGTAAGTAAGTAAGTAAGTAAGTAAGTAAGTAAGTAAGTAAGTAAGTAAGTAAGTAAGTAAGTAAGTAAGTAAGTAAGTAAGTAAGTAAGTAAGTAAGTAAGTAAGTAAGTAAGTAAGTAAGTAAGTAAGTAAGTAAGTAAGTAAGTAAGTAAGTAAGTAAGTAAGTAAGTAAGTAAGTAAGTAAGTAAGTAAGTAAGTAAGTAAGTAAGTAAGTAAGTAAGTAAGTAAGTAAGTAAGTAAGTAAGTAAGTAAGTAAGTAAGTAAGTAAGTAAGTAAGTAAGTAAGTAAGTAAGTAAGTAAGTAAGTAAGTAAGTAAGTAAGTAAGTAAGTAAGTAAGTAAGTAAGTAAGTAAGTAAGTAAGTAAGTAAGTAAGTAAGTAAGTAAGTAAGTAAGTAAGTAAGTAAGTAAGTAGTAAGTAAGTAAGTAAGTAAGTAAGTAAGTAAGTAAGTAAGTAAGTAAGTAAGTAAGTAAGTAAGTAAGTAAGTAAGTAAGTAAGTAAGTAAGTAAGTAAGTAAGTAAGTAAGTAAGTAAGTAAGTAAGTAAGTAAGTAAGTAAGTAAGTAAGTAAGTAAGTAAGTAAGTAAGTAAGTAAGTAAGTAAGTAAGTAAGTAAGTAAGTAAGTAAGTAAGTAAGTAAGTAAGTAAGTAAGTAAGTAAGTAAGTAAGTAAGTAAGTAAGTAAGTAAGTAAGTAAGTAAGTAAGTAAGTAAGTAAGTAAGTAAGTAAGTAAGTAAGTAAGTAAGTAAGTAAGTAAGTAAGTAAGTAAGTAAGTAAGTAAGTAAGTAAGTAAGTAAGTAAGTAAGTAAGTAAGTAAGTAAGTAAGTAAGTAAGTAAGTAAGTAAGTAAGTAAGTAAGTAAGTAAGTAAGTAAGTAAGTAAGTAAGTAAGTAAGTAAGTAAGTAAGTAAGTAAGTAAGTAAGTAAGTAAGTAAGTAAGTAAGTAAGTAAGTAAGTAAGTAAGTAAGTAAGTAAGTAAGTAAGTAAGTAAGTAAGTAAGTAAGTAAGTAAGTAAGTAAGTAAGTAAGTAAGTAAGTAAGTAAGTAAGTAAGTAAGTAAGTAAGTAAGTAAGTAAGTAAGTAAG